AACTATTTTTATCCATTTTGAGTTAAAATTTGCTTTTTTCTGATTATATTGGTTGTTTTTGCAGTTTTTGTTTTAAAGATTAATCAACTCTTTAGCAAAATTTATTGCATTTTCGACTAATATTTATTGGCTTTTAAAGAGAGTTATAACATGTAACAACTAAATAGCTTCACATTAGCTCTCTTCAAATGCCAATCGTATCTGAAACAAGAATAATAGAAAAACAAAATATTCTTCAGATAGCTTTGAATATTTCCAAAAGTTTCAAGCAATTTGGGGGTTGAGAGGAATGCTCGTTCTGTAGCTCTGCGATTGTGATGTAGAACCTCCTTCTGGAGATGGATGATGAATTTCAGGATGATTTTCCGGGTCTTGAGTGAGGACTCTGATAGGATAAGGTGCTTTGATCTTTTAACTGAATTTATTGCTTTTATACTGGTTTTTGTCCTATGATTAAGAAAATCTATTAATTTCCAATATGAGACCAGGAGTATATTTAAAAGACAAATACTACTAATAAAAGATTACCACTTACAGAATGATGTTACCAAATACAAGAAGATCAAAATGTAATGTGAAATGGGTATTTCTCAATAGAAGGAAGAAAAGGAATCAGGGTATTTTTAAAATTGTATTCATAAAATAAGGATAAGAAAGGAAAGACAACCTAGATGTGGAAAACCAAATGAAACTACAGAGATTTCTTGACAAGGAAAAATATTATGAATCACTAAAGTGTTAATCTTAGTGAAACAAAACATCATGCAAGATTTTAGATAAGAGTTAAATGGTGGACAGAGCATAGTGACTCTTGAGCAGTGAGTGTTGTCTGGTAGCAGTTTTCATGTCTTACATTTCTCTAATATGCTGCATAACTGAATTTGCATTAAATTTTTTGCTTTGTAAGATAAGTCATGTGAAATTACGTGATAAATATTTATTCGAAATAAGCTGCCCTCGCTAAGGAGACTGGTGAAAACATTAGAAATTTGTTATTTCTTTATTCTTAGCATGACAGTTCTCTTATTTTACAGTCAATTTCCTTTCAGAAGTCTACCTTTTGTGGATCTGTGTAAAACAGATTCCACAGAACCTTTTAAAGGTAGCTAAATAATGGTAGAGAGACCTGTTTTTTGATTAGGCTGTAGATTTTAAACTCCTGATTTACTTTGGTATCCTAACCAATGCAGCTCTACTTCTTATTGAAAGTGTCTGGTTATTAACAGAAGGCAATAGTGATGTGTTGGCAAGCTGTATAATAAATATGGTGCTCAGAGATAGCAAAACACTATTAAAAGTAGAGCTAGAAATTGATATTTCTGATGGTAATGCTCACAAATCTATAATTCATTATTTGTCCTCAGTTTATTTTATGAGTACATTTTCAAAATAATTTTAATTGATTTGTTTTCATGATTCTACTTTAAAGGTCCTTCAGCAGAAAATATACAATGAGCTTGCATCTCTGCAAGATTTAGTCCCTTTCATATCACAGAAAGCTAGACTATACGTAGCTATAGGAATCCAGAAACAAAACCTTCCTGCTTTCCAGAGGATTTAGATAAATGTTTATTAAATCAATCAAAATTTATCTATTAAATTGTTAATACACAAGTTTTATAACATTGCATATTTTGCATATTTAAGATGCAAATTTCTTGTTTATTTAGGAAGTTTTTTGGCAATAAGTAATAGCTCAAGTCAAGAAAATATGCTTATGAAAAACTTATATTCCAAAATTTGCCTAGCTA